AATAAAGAAGAATGAGTGGGCCCCTAAAGCCTAAAAGAGACTTCTTATAGATTAAAGAGTGGATCCCACCTGATATAAAATATGAAGACCCAATGAAAGAGGGAAAACATCTAAAACAATTCAGAAAAACCAAATAGGAGCAAAATTTGGAATACAAATAATAAAAGAATGCCAACAAAATATGGAAGACAAAAGGCGGCAGTGAAGAAAATGTAGAACATGTTTAATCCAAGATTAAAATGAAAATGAGAAAATATAGAAAGAAGGCAAACTCCAAAAGGATTTAGTAATTAGAAACCGAATTGGTCTGTGAAAGTGGTGTCCTTCCTCTCCAGCCGCCTCATCTCCCCAACCCTAAGAACTGGTGTTGGGAACATTAATTTCTAGGGAAATAGAGCTGATAGATGAAAATAAACAAGATGAAGGAAAGGAGAATGAAGATAGATGGAACTGAATCTGAAAGTTCATCACATGAACGCCACGGAGCCTGTACACTTACAAATGACTAAGGCAGTAAATTTTGTTATGTGTACTTTAACACAGTTCCAAATAAATAAAAATACAGGGGCACCTTGGTTTATGAATTTAATTTGTTTTATGGTTTTGAGGAAAATGGCTGTGTTTGTTTTGTGTGGGGAAGATAGCCATTGTTGAATTTGTCATCTGATGTGGTTTGTGAGTTGATGAACACTTTTGTTTGGGAACTGAATTGTTTGCCCACAGAGATGTTCATGAACTGAGATATTACAGTAGATTTAAAAATATATATGCAAGAAATTTAAATGGGCGAAGTTTTTACTATAACAAATTAAAATTATTCCTTCGGAAAATATTTGCAAGGAGAAAAAATGAGATATATGACCTGTCGGGACCTTTCACTGTAAGGGATTCATATTTCCAGAATGCAGTGTAAGGAGCAATTTGACCGTCCACTTGGGACAGCTGTGGGGTACTGAATGGAAAGGAATACCCAGCCCCAGCTAGGTGGAGGAGAGGATGTTGACTGAGCCTTGGAGGGTGAGTGATTTGTTTTCCAGACTGCATTAAAAGCAAAGAAAGCTCCCCAAGAAGAAAGGAATAGATTTTGAGTAGTCACTACCTGCGTTGGTTTGCAAAGCTGGAAAATGGACCCAAACTATGGCTACTTCTGCATCTGTGTTGTTTTTTTTTTTCAATCAAAAGTAAATTTCAGGGGATTTGGCTCAATGGTGGTGACCTGTCTGGCAACCACCAGGTGTCCTGAGTTTGATTCCCAGTACCAAAAAATAAAGATCTAGAAAGAAATAATTTGAAATTTTCAAAGCCAGATTCTCAGGTTTGGTGAATTTATCTTTTTTATACACCAAAGATATATTTCCTTTTACTTTTGGCTTTTATCACCTCGTCTTTACCTTTCTGTAAAGGGAATTGGTGTCGTCATCCATTGTGAACATTTATTATGAAAGCATGCTCGCTGGAGCAAGCGTCCATCCAAGCCTGTGAGGCTGTCAAGTTCAGGCACTGTATTTTTAAGTTCTGGTGGCTTCTAGATCAAGTCACTTCTCTTTCTTCTTCCTCCTCTTCTTTCTTCTTCCTCCCCCCTCCCCCTCCCCTCACCTCCTCATCTGTTTCTGGAGTTCTAGCCATAGAAATTACACCCCTCCCTTAGAGTTTTCTTGTGAACTTAGAAACTAGACAAATGATCTAGGTATAGGCAAGAAAAAGCAAGTGCTACAGGAGACTTTAGTGATTTTTCTCTCCTGGTAATGTTAAGAGTAGAGTGGACTCAATTTATATGATCAGGGATCATGAATTTCCTGGTTCCAAATATATTATCACCAAACAACTGAGTTACTGAGCAGTGCTGTGACATAATGTTTACTTTTTAAAATTATACTGACAAAAGGCTAGAATTTGTCAGGAATTAATTATGGTAGAATGAAGAGGAGTTACTGAAACTTGACAGTGGATCCAGTTCAAGGACATTCAACCCAGTGACTTTCATTGTGTCTCCATCAGCCCAGGCTGACCTATGTGAAACTGATGGATGCTGCCCCTCATTTACCCTCTGCTCTGGCCTGGGCTTTGGCTGGCTTAGGATGGTTCCAGCTCATTCAGTCTGTGTGCACTGACTTTGGTACTCTCAAAGGTGTCTGGCTTTGAAGTACAGGTGGATAGGATTTTTTATGAATTTGTACTTTGGCTTTTTAAATGGAAGATTTGTCTAAAAGGTATTCCAGTATCTGGATTTTAGCTATCCAGTTCAGAATGTAGCTTTACAGAAGACTGCCAGAGGTCACTGTAATGAAAATCCTCTCAGTGTAATTGCGACTTCTAACCCCAGGAGTCTTGTAATTATGGATCTAGTCTTCCAATTATATTTTACATCAACTCCATTATTGCTGTCATCTGGAAGTGGATTCAACCCTGTGAAAAACTGAAGATATTAAAAAGTTGTACTCCAAGTAGATATTTCAGGTTTGTGTTCCAGTCTCCAGTTCTGTGGCATGATGCCCTTGTTATATAGGAAGACAGCTCTCGTGATAGGCTGTCCCTCTAATTTGGCAGTGGGCAGGCAATCTACTCACACAAGGTGGAGAGTAGCAGTAGGGTGGAGGAGTGGACAGCACTTGATTTTCATCCCAAAAGATGTCCCTTTAGAATAGTGTCTTTCAGTACACTGCTTGAAGTGCCAGTTAATGAATGACTCTTCATTGCAAATACTGTGCCCGATTCATTAAAGACTCTGACACTCTGGTTCTCATGTAGCTCTCATCCCATGAATCACTCATTGACTTACAGAAATAAAGAAGCCATGTTTAATAGTTATTTAAGGAGATTTACTGAATACTATCTATGCAAGGAACTCTATAATTAGCCCTTTGTATCCACTAGCTCCACATCCATAGATTCATCTGACCATAGGTCAAAATATTCAGAAAAAAATTGCATCTTCTGTGAATATGTACAGATATTTTTCTTGTTATTATTCCCTAAACAATGCAATATAACAAATATATTCCCATAGCGTTTCTATTATTTATATATCATAAGTAATCTACAGATTATTTAAAGTGTACAGGACATATATAGATTATGTGCAAATACTGTGCCATTTTCAGTAAAGGACTTGGGCACCTTTGAATTTTGGTGTCTGTGGTTATCCTGGAACCAATCCTCTATGACTACCAAGGGTTGGCTGTATTATATCTGAGAAGCTATGGTCTTGTTACTTTTATGGGATACAGCTATATGGTTCAATTTTAGGGCCAATTCTAGGCAAAACAGCTTCTCTGTGGTAAAAGAAGAGGAGAGTTGGATGAAAAGAGAAGAAAGAACAGCATGAGAGAAAGGAAGAAGGAAGGCATGCATGAGAAGATTGTATTCCTGGGCCAGGGCATCAGTGGGCTGGGGCAGAAGGCAAAGGCAAACCACCAGAGACCCCTAAACCAGGCTGATGGTTCAAGGCTTGCTGATAATTGTGAGCTATTGAAAGTTTTGAGCAGAAGGGTGTTAAAATTTAAACCAAGCAGAAAGAAGATTGGATGGGAATGTAAAACAGGTGGAATGAAGTCAGCCTTGAAGGTATCTGCTGTTCTGACTTAGCCATAGATTTCCAAGGGCTGAGACTAGGACACAGCTAATGGGAATGGAGAGGATGAAAAGAAATTGTGCAGCACATTTTATGTTATTGCTTAACTCAAGAGGCCCTATTCCTATAGTGTAGTAGTAGTAAAGATCTAGAAAGACCTTCCAGATATAAGGAATCCTCAATTCTGTCAGGTTAAGTGAACTGGAGAGGAAGGGGTAGGGAAAATGTGGGAAAGTCATTAATGTGACACTGGGGACAAAGTTGTAATTTAATACAATAGACAATACTTTTGTATGTCTTCCACAGAACAGGGCTTGGGATGGAAAGAAAAGAGGAGAAGGCTTATGTTTATTGGTAGCTCTGAGTGCTCAGCTTCATGGAGAACCTTGTTCCCTCTTTGTTATCCATGGTACCACCATTCTATTCATAACTAAACCAGCATCCAAATGGGAAATTCACTTTTTCCTTGATTCTTTTCCCTTAATCTCTGTAGCCAATCATTATCCTGTACTTGGCATTCCTGTCTCTATCCTAAACTGTATATTGATACCTGACTATCTTGCAAGTATTTGGCTGGTGCATGCTACAGTTTTAATATGTCAAAGTACCATGAAAAGCAGAGACTCGAAATTTGCATTTAAAGCAAAATAATTTTTTCCAGTTAAATAATTAACTGGGTTGCATTCTAATGGGAGGCCACTCAGCAGGAACCCTGATAGTTGCCCCTGTTCAAGATCTAGTCCAAGTAGGCAATTTATATATTTTAAAAAGGACAAGGGCTGAAGGTATAGCTCACTGATACATCACTTGCCTAGCATGGTTTAGATCCTGGGTCTGATCCCCAGCACTATGAAAAGAAAGGAAGGAGGGAGGGAGGAAGTTAACTATTTATAAATGCACACATTTTAAATACATTGTTTATATAACAAAGGACAAACAAAGGCTTCTCAACTTGAATCAAGGATGGTGGTCTTGCCCCTTTGAGAGCAAGAGCCAACAGGGCTTCTGAAAATTGGCTCTTGGAGACTTCTGGAAGAAATGACTCCCCCAGAGTCTTTTACATTATTCTGCTGAAGCATAGAAGACAGCTTCTGTCATTAAGAAAACTTGGACAAGAAATTACCTTTTTCCTAATTTTTTTTACTCCATTTGCCTGGAACATAAAAGAGAAGCCAAAAATGTCATAAATATTATAGATTTATCAGTCATATCAGTCTGGTGACAAGAAGAATTTTGAGATTATCAAATATTGTGCAATGCAAACATAACATAAATTCCCACATCATTTCTAAAGAATAAGGTCAGCTTATGATATTAAGTGTGACATTCTTGATATGATTAATATCCTTATATTTGTGGTTTAACACACCCTGTCTGAATATTTATAATGTTATTTTCAGCCACTAAGAACATCCATTCTGTTTTTCAGCTTCTCCAGTTGGCAACGGTTACATCAAGCCTCCAATTCCACCTGCCTCAGGCACACACAAGGAGAAAGGGCCGCCAACCATGTTACCTATCAATGTGGACCCAGACAGCAAACCAGGAGAATATGTCCTCAAGAGTTTATTTGTCAATTTCACCACCCAGGCTGAGCGTAAGATTCGCATCATTATGGCAGAGCCCCTGGTGAGTGTATGCCATGGAGCCTACCTCTTTCTAAATTCAACTGCATGCTGAATTCTGTAGGCCCTCCATATCCTAGGATTTCATATTCATGGAGTGAACCAAACTCAAGATTGAAAACATTTGGGAAAAATAATTGTATCTCTACTAAATATGTACTTACCTTTTTTGGTCATTATTCCCTAAATAATTCAGTGTAGCAACTATTTACATAGCATTTATATTATGTTAGGTATTATATGTCAACTAGATGATTTAAAGTGCATAGGAGGATATGCACAGGTCCAGTGCAAATAGTTCTGCCACTTAATACAAGGGACTTGAGCATTTGTACATTTTTTTTTCTGGTACCAGGAATTGAACTCAGGACCTTGCACTTGCTAGGTAGGCATGGCGCCACTGAGCTATTATCTGAAGGAAGTGATCTTGAACAAATCTCCACAGATATCAAGTGATGACTATATGCTGGACTTTACCATCCCTGAAAAGGATGGATTACTAATTCCCTGCTTTCCAAAGGGTATTTTTTAATTATGGGTTTAAAAAGATAAGTTAGGTTTCCTGGTTTCAGGGGAAAAAATTGAGAACTTTAAAACAATCGTTAACACATAAAATTTAGTAGCATACTTCATCGTTGCATTTAGGACAATAAACATCATCTGACCAGAACTATTAATAATAGAAAAATTGTGTGTCACAGCTATGTATTTTTACTGCAAACAAAATTTTTTGTCCTGTATTTCAAGTAAATGAGAAAAAAAAAGGTCATTGTTCTTCAAGTGGCTGTCTCGACTTCCAGGTTAAGAACATAAGGTTCGCAGTACCATGTTGTCAAAGGAAGTGTTTTGGCAAGTCATTCAGAAACCCCAGTTCCAACTTCTGAAAATTGGAAGACAAGAAATTCTTGACTTTCTTACCTTTAGATCCCTTATTACACAAATGATGCCTTTGGACTTCAGCGTCTTTTTTTGCAGATGCTTAGGCTGGAAAGTAAAGTGTGGGTGAGCCTTATGTTAATTGCTTTAACAGGGCTCTGAGAGCACTGAATCTTGAAAGGACAATCAGGAAGGAAGAAAGTGCAATTGGTAGGTTCAGATTACTTGTTTTCTGACCTTGGTTGGGCCACACACAATAAGAGAGAAGGAAAGGAATTCAGAGTGACGCAGCTGTTTCTATGAAGCGAGGCTTTGTACCTCCTGTGAGGATACTGGAGCAGTGTGAAGATAATCAGACTTTGCCTTGCAGAATCATGGCTGAAAATGATTAGGGGCAATTTTTCTGAGTCCATAGCACAGATCTTTGAAAATATGTACCAGACGATGTACAACATCCTCTGTTAAAATAACCTGTGTAAAAAAAAGGATCACATCTTAAAGTTTAGAAATCAGAATTCAAGAATGTTAAGTGTATTTACCTGAAAGTTACAAACTTTGCATGTTAAAGTTTTTATTAGATCAACAAAGACTATCTTTATGCATTCTTTTAATAAAATTCTATTCATTTATTAAAAATCCATGATTATGGAAATTGTTCCTTGGTTTTATGATTTCAGTTTGCTTAAATTTGTTCCTTAGTGCGTATCTTTTTTCCATTCACTTACGTTTTTATGTTTCTACTACTCTTACTACTGATAGAAGGTGGCATGGAGTACTGACTGGAGTAGCTAGCTTAGAGTATTACTCTTACTACTCATAGTAACTAGCATAGAGTGTGCCAAGCATTGTGCTTAATTTACTCTTTACAATGACCTTGGGTCACATCTCATTTACGGTTGGGAAAAATAGCATAGAGGTTAAATTATTGCTGAAGGTCACACCTTTTTGTTGATTTGTACTCAGGCTGGAAGATGTCAGACCCCACTCTGAACTGCAGTAACTGCACTCTGTGATCAGTCTTTACATATTATCTTTAAGTAAAGGTAACTTTGCTCTTTTACACCAACACAGGGTCCTCCTGTGACTTGAGTCAGCCAAGTCAAATATCCAAATTCCCACTGCTAAGAACAGTCTGATCCCTAGAAACCTCTAGCTGCTGAAGCAGCTAGGACCCTTTCCCTGGTAGATGGAGGAACCTGCTTTGGGTTCAGAAGGGAATGGGGAGTTTAGGGAGGACAGAGTGGTAAAGCACGATGAAGTTTCTTTTCACTCCTTAACACATAGAAATGCCAAAAAATGCCAGGTTAAAGCTCTCTGAATTTGTGTATCCTCATTAATTTTCTGAGGAACCCAGGAGTTGTACAAAACCCAGAAGTTGTACAAAAGTTGTACAAAAGAGATGATTCCTTTTGAACTATCCATGTTTCCAGGATAATAATTTATATACTGTTCTGTTATTTAGGAACTTCTGAGATGAAATCACTTGGGTTACCTGGATTCATCTTTACTCAGCTTAGGATTTCTTTAGGAGCCCTTTTTTCTTCCTTGAATAAGGATTAGGCCTGAAAGACTCTTGTATACACAGCATTCTTCTAATAAGGGGTAGACATTATATTCCTTTGGTTAGATATCTTCAAACAGAAGAAAGTTTTCTTCATCAGCAGATCTTTATTGTGTGCCTACTGGGAGAGATGCTGCTAGACATTAATTGCCAATGAGATGTACCTGATGTTTTTAGCAGAAGAAATACACACAATCAATTCCTTACTTTTTATAAAAAGAGACTGTTCCCCTTTTATTTTTTGCCACAGATGTAAACTTCCACTGATGCTGAAAAATGCTTGGTAATTTTTATCCCTTTATTTGCTTACTTATAGGATAGTAACTATAAATGGATTCTGTGAATTATTACTTGATTCTAAAAATATGAACATGCATGTGACATTTTGTCCTGTGGCCATAGTAAGAGGTGATTTTGTGATTTGTTTTAGTGAGGCTTGGGATGGAACCAAGTGCTAGTGCCTGCTAGGCAAGTGTTCTACCACTGAGCTACACTCCCACCCCTAGAGGTCTTACTTTTTATGTATGCAGAGTACAGTTAAGTGGAATTCTATTAAATGTCCCCTTCTATTTCTCTTCCTGATTTAGCCTCTTTTAGCAAGATATTAAATCCTTTGAAACCCTGAATTTATGTATGTTTACATAAAACCACAAAATAGTGTCGTCATTTTCCTTAATATAACTTGAGGTGGCAAAGATAATTTTCAAAAATTCAGAAGTATAGATTTCTTATTTTGTGAACTGTGCAAGAACCTGTGTTTTTGTTTTGTTTTGTCTTTTTTGTTTGTTTTATTTTGTTTTTTGCAGTACTGGGGATTGAACTCATGACTTTGCGCTTTCGAGGCAGGTGCAGTACCACTAAGCTAAATCCCCGGGCCTGTTTTATCTTGTTTTTGACAGCAGAGTTTCACTATGTAGTTCAGACTGTCCTTGAACTCACTTCATAGCCCAGGCTGGCCTAGAACTCATTGTGATCCTCCTGCCTCAGCTTCCCAAGTGCTGGGATTATAGGCATGCACCACCATGCGCAACTTCTTTCATCTTTAAAAGTTTGACTCAGAACTTCATATTAGCTCAACAATGTGCAGTAGATTATCCATCTACCACATTAAATTAAAGTTTAAAGTTTTATTTATGACTTTCTGATGTTCAAGTAGTGAACCTTAATGGGTAAAGGGGGCATGAAATAAAAATGTCCTATCAGATTCAAATTTTAGTTCTTTTTCCTTATAAATATCTTTGTAAACATCTTGCACTTGGTCAGCAATATTGCTCTTTGTACCCAAAAGTTGCTCAGGTCATATTCATTAATATTTATGGATAAGTCAATGGTTTTATTCTGTTTTTATTGCTTAATGGAGACATTTGATAGCCTTTGCTTTTGTTCACTCTTACTACTATTTCACCTTTCCAAAATGTTCTAAACAAGCTAAATGAGGTCATCTGTGTGTTTTTTAATATTTTATTTCAAAATATTAAAAGTATAGAAAGAGTCATGAGTGGTAAATAACTCAGTCTTCTTCATCTTCAGAGTCTTTATTTCTCCCTCATTTATCAAAGATGATTTAGCTGGGAATAGAATTTGAGGTTGACATATATTCATTCTCCCTCTAGATTTTTGACAGTATATTTCACTGTGTCGCCTCTATAATTGTCATTGAAAAGTCTGTAGTTGATTTGTTACATGTGGATTTTTTTCTGTTTATTGTCTTTGGTGTTGGGCACTTTTGGTATACTTTTCTTGGGTGTGGATTTGTTTTTATTTTCTTGTTAGAAACTCTTGTACTTCTTGAATTGAGGATTTATATCTTTCATCAATTCTAGAAGATTCTTGACAATTACCTATGTGAATATGGCCATTTATCTACTTTCTCCATTCTCTCTCTCTCTTTTTTTGTTTTTCTTTTTTGTGGTACTGGGGATCGAATTCAGGACCTTGTGCTTGAGTCAGGGAGCAGCACCACTGAGCACCACTAAGCTAAATCCCTGGCCCCTCTCCATTCTCTTTTTCTGGCATTCCTGTTAGTTATTGGACCTTTCATGCCATATTGCGTGTCTTCTTACCCTTCTTTTATTATTGCTGCCATTTTTTTGCATTTTACTGCATTCCAAGTAATTTTCTTAAATCTGTCTTCCCATTTACTATGGCACTCTTAGGCTATGTCTAATCAGTTGCTTAACCCTCCCATGGAGAATTTTAATTTTGGTAACTATATTTTTCATTCCAAGAAATGCTGTTTTGTTCTCTTTTTATGTGCACTAGTAAAAATCTTTAAAAATATATAAGATTTAAGGTTTTTGTTTTCATTGTATTTTGTTCCTTTAAGTTTACAACTTTCTTTCAATCACCATAAACATACATCTTCTATCCTGTTTTAGAGAATTGTTCTACTATACCCCTGTTTGGGAGCCTATACTTTTTTTTTTTTTTGAGACAGAGTCTCGCTTTGTAGTTCAGGCTGGCTCTGAACTCACTATGTAGTCCAGGCTGGCCTCGAACTTGTGGTGATCCTCCTGCCTCTGCACCATGAGGCCCATGTGCAATCAAAAGTTCCCATAGTAAGGTGG